GCGACTTGGTTTTTCATTATATATACAATATAAAACACTATAAAATACTATAAAATAACCGATAAAATAACCGATCAGATGTATATACAGTATTATCAAACACTATCAACTTATAATATATTTTCCATACATATAAAGAAATTAAAAGCATTTCCTGTTAATACTGTTTTTATTCATTACAACAACGCATGCATATGATATGGAACTTGATATTACACAAAGAACCATAAACGTGTGTTCACACATTTATACCATAGAGGAAGTATGAGGTATAGAGCCGTTTAATTTATCTGAAGAGATTTCATCACTACACGTTGCTAGTGCCTCCAAATCAGCATCCGTGATTCTCTGAGCAAATTAACAAGTTGAAATCAATCTAATGTTAAGTTTTATAATCAATACCTATTTCACATTCTTATGTCATATATAGTTAAATAAATCTTAGTTAAATCAAAACGTATATGTGAATGAGAAGGTACAAAAAATAACCTTTTTCTGCTTAGTTAAATCTCTAAACCGTGAGAATATTTCGTTTAATTTTTCATCATGGATTTCATATCCCAACTGAGAATAGAAAACAAACACATACAAGTATATTAAATAATGATTCGTCAAATTAATATTGATATATTATTTGATAGTATATCATCATTATATTAAATTAAGGATACCTCTTTTAGCCGACCTTTCACAGCATGACGTCCACTGCGTATTTCCATATTTTGGTTTAAATCAATTAAACAATGGTACGTAAATAAATCAAACAATGGTACGTAAATAAATTTGAATAAGTAAAACCAAGAAAATATCACTTTATTACCTAAGTTTTCCAAGAAGAATGCCGGAATTTTGAAATTTTACAATTCCAACATCTTCTGGTGATAAGATCTCATATGTACTCCGGTTTTTTAATATTCCATCCTGAAAAATGTGTGAACAATTCTCATATTATATGATTAATCCACATCATCGACTTACTTATTTTTCGTATGTCATATAGAAACTGTAATGTTAATATATGGAACCTGGTGAATTCCGCTCTCATGAACAAAACAATTATCTCCAACTATAGGCTTATGTGGTTGAACATACAAACCAGTATATTCTTGAACCTGCTCAAGAAGTTACGTATATTATTATAAAGGGAAAAAAAGGAAACTAGCATGATCTGTTTTTATTTGTGTATACATAAAAATGTTACCATCTTGCTAGTAGCCATAATTTGGCGTGTGTCTATTCTCGTGTAAGCACCATCCATCAGATATGCTCCTCGACATTTCAAAGCCATCACGACCTACATACCAAAAGAAATAATTC